CAACAGCAACTTTTAGAGTTTATAAACTGGAAATAAATCTTGTAACACACGTGCTTGTGGTTTAACCCCAGTTGGCAGCTCAGCCCCACACAGCTGCTCGCTCACTCCCCCTGGTGAGATGGGGAGAGAATTGGAAGAGTAAAAGTGAGAAAACTTGTGGGTTGAGATAAAGACAGTTTAAGAGGTAAAGCAAAAGCCATGTGTGCAAGCAAAGCAAAGCAAGGAATTTGTTCACTCCTTCCCGCCCCCAGGAAAGCAGGGCTCCATCATGAATAATGGTTACTTGGGAAGACAAAAGCCATCACTCTGAACGTCCCCTCCTTCTTCTTCCCCCAGTTTTATTGCTGAGTGTGACGTCATATGGTCTGGAATAACCCTTTGGCTGGTTGAGGTCAGCTGTCCTGGCTGTGCCCCCTCCCAGCTTCTTGTGCACCCCCAGCCTGCTCCCTGGTGGGGTGGAGTGAGAAGCAGAAAAGGCCTTGATGCTGTGTAAGCCCTGCCCAGCAGTAATGAAAACATCCCTGCATTACCAACCCTGTTTTCAGCACAAATCCAAAACATAGCCCCATACAAGCTACTATGAAGAAATTTAACCCTATCCCAGACAAACCTGGTATAGGTATCAAAAGTACCTCTATGCTAGCTCTTATTTTTGTGTAATTTATTACAGGCTTCTAGTGCACCTGGCGGAGCATGGGAAGCTGAAAAGTCCTTGACTTAGTGTAAGCACTGCTCAGCAATAACAAAACCATCGGTGTGTTATCAACATTATTCTCATCCTAAATCCAGAACACAGTGCTATGCCAGCGACTCTTAAGAAAATTAACCCTGTCCCAGCCAAAACCAGCACGGTACTATATGTGCAGTTTATATCTGTGTGCAAGTAGCTCTATTACAATGGGTCTTAATGTTACAAAGGAGGGCAACGTATTTATTTTATTTTTTAAATACAGATGTCATTCACTTCCCTAGTGTGCTTTGCTGTGGTACGTTACAAAACAAAGGAATCTGTTGAATAAATTTGTTTCATTAATTAACATGTATTTTCCGCTCCCTTTTGTCAGGCAAGTTTTTTTACAAATATCTACATTCTTCAAAACAACCTTTTTCTGTTTTCTTTTTTTAAGTGATGCAAATTAAATCTCTGTGCTTAAACACGGGTTCGAATGTGTATTTCTTATTTAAGCAATGGGATCTCAATGTTCTGCAATATTTAACTTTAAGAAATAAAATTAGAAGTTGTGAATGTGCAGAACATTAAATCAGTCTATGGGAAAATAGTCTTCTCTGTAACTATTCAATCATTTTCCAATTCTTTAAACCATGTACGATTGCTGTTTCAGGAACACAGTATATCTCAATAATATAGTTCAGTTACTTCAGCTTTTAAGTGAAAATTTATGTGACATTTTAGAAAATATTGATTCTGTTGACATAATTAATAACAAGAATGTGATTTACAGTTTTTTCAGGTTGTAATTTTTTATTTCCTGTGGTCATACAGGTTTTTTGGGGGGCTTAAATCAGAGCAGTTTGTTCCCTGAAGGCACGTATACATAGAGAGTGTCAAGAAAATTAAGCTTAATTAGCAAAAGATGTGAATTTAAAGCTCATTAAGTCCTTATAAGCACTTTTCTTCTGAAATAATTTAGCTTTAGTTGAGAAGAGGATTGATCTTATGTGAATTCTTTAGTGGTGGACTTGGCAGAGTGAGGTTTATGGTTGGACCCAGTCATAAAGGTCTTTTCTAATGTAAATGATTATATGATTCTATTCTAGTTTATGTTTTTTAAGGAGGCGTATCTCTACCAGAATTGCATGCAGGGAACAAAGAAAAACCCCAAGAAACCAACCAAACAAAAAAAAAAGATAATTGCATACCCATTATATTGGTAGTACCCTATAATAACAGCTAAATGCTCACAGGAATTGATACAACCACACTGAAAAATCACTTGTGATTGCAATGGTTACAGTAATTTTTTATCATGTTAACTATATGAAATTTATCCTAAACTTGAACAGTCTCAAATCAGGCATATTCTCTCTTCTTCTTGATTTTTATTGCACATATTTTAATATCACAAGTTCCAGTAAATTAGAAGTCTTACAAACTCCATATCAGTCAGGCACACAGGTAGTATGATACTCTCTGAATCTTTGAATATTTCAACCTCCATAAAATTTCATTTCAACCAACCAACAAAACTATTGAACAAAAATGATTGTGACATAATTCAAAATATTTGAGATCCCAAAGTAGTAGGTAATAAATAAATAAAAAAAAAATACTACTATTTTTAATACATTTTTAAAAGAACTGAAGCTCTGTTTTTCAAACTTCCTTTGTCCAAAACCATTTTGTCATCTAAGTGGTTCTTTTGCATCTGCCATTCACAATGGAACAATTCTCTTTCAGTACCTTTTAACAGGCAATCTTCTCACAAAACCTTTACATACCGGGCTGCCAATTCTGTCTGTTAGTAGGACTGAGAGGAAGGGACCAACACCTTTTTCCCTTCTAGTCTCATTCATCTAACTAGACTCCCTCTGAAATTTAAATGTTATTATTATACTATCGCATACAATTTTAACACTGAGTCAATATCAGTAATTTCAACAAGGTTGTGTATATACGTAGCGCACAAAATTAGTTTAACTGTTCTTGCTTTCTCTTAATTCTTTTATTTTCTATTTCATATTTTTAAGCTCTCTGTCTACTATTTGCATTGTCTGTTTTATTGCCGCATTAAATATTCCTTTTTCAGTTAAAACATTTTTTCTGCTGGAGTTGCGTTCCAAGTTTAAATTCTGCTCATGCTGAGCATTCTTTGTAGAGCTATAAAATTAAGAGTTGAAGTGTGAATACCTGTAGAAGAATGGCCCTGAAATTGCTCAATAAAATGGTATTGCTGCATGAAGAAAATTGGGTTTGATAAAAAAAAAAAAAAAAAAAAATCTTTATTCATCCTGGTGCCCTAAGATTGAGTATTTAAGTCACAAAATATCCTTTTCCTATGGAAAAATGCTAATTAAAGGTATGCTATTTTAATCTCAAGTTTTACGTATGCACTAGAGATTCAAACATCCCAACTGTCCACTTGGCTGCTTCAGAGAAGTTTAATTTTTTTAACATACTACTTTTGGATGTGAGGGTAGTGGTTTTTTTTCCTGGGAAATCACATATTCTTTCTGCTACGATCATCATTGCCTCAGGTTGAAGCCATGTTAGCTAGACACTTTTTAAAGAAGCACTGACCTCCATGAATTGATTTATCTTTAGTTTATTCATGTTTTTTACTCTATAAGTAATAATAATAACAAAAGAATCACCAGTATTGTCACCTGCTCATAAGAGTGTTGTCCTGAAAGACAGCATGTTTTAGTTAAGAATTCTGATTTTTTTTTTTTTAATGGGAAGATTTTTCTACTTGTCCTAGATCTTCAGTTACTGTCATAGAGCATATGCATTGTTGAAATGTCCAGTAGGTTTATTTCCTTTGTCATAGTCATTGGCCATGTTATTGCCAACATAGTATAAAGGCTGAAGTATCTAATATGAATCGCTGTATGAGGGTGAGGAAAATTCAAGTTGCTCTAAGCTTCCCCTTCTTGTAATTCATGCAGAAAAAACGAGGGATTGGTTGTGAGCTTTTTTTGGGTGCATAGAACTTCCTGCCAGAGCACAATATATGAAATGGAGAGACAGAGCTTATAAAATCTGTCCATTTTACCAACACAATATCAGTCATTATGTGCTTTTCTCCCTAATAGGCAAATAAGATTATCAAAAGTTCCAGGAGATTACAACAAGCACCTCCACAGTACGCCTGTGGTAGTGTCCTAATAATAGGAATATTATTGTCCTATTTCCTATAGTCATGCTCTGCAGTTGTTTCTCAGAGGTCAGGTTCCTTAATTCTATGCTTGGTCTGCAGAATTTTTGGAAGCAGTATGTGGTTTATCTTCAGCTTTGGTTTGGAGAATATTAAAAAATTCTGGAACAAGCCACCAGAACAACAGTTTCTGTAGAAGACTACCTACATTTGAAGTCCTCTTTTTTTCCTTTTTATCTTTTTTTCTTTTTTTTTTTCTCCTCCTTAAGTACATTGACTTAATAATTAGCTACTGAAGTGGACTGATTATATGATCTCAGTTGTATGCTTTTACTTAATCAAATCCTTAGTGACTTAAATCGCTGAATAGGATTATTTTTTCTCTCTTACAGGGAAGGTAAATTTAATTAAAGTGTCAGTATTACCTAATGCAATTATTTTTCCAGAGTATAACAGGGATTATTTCAGACAGCTTAAAAAAGCAAACAGCACTTGGGGGTTATTATGACTAAACTGAACCATTGTTTAAGGATACTGCAGAAATCTGTAAAAATTTTCTCCTTTGAATCCATAGCTTGTAAAAGTAAAAAGAGGGTATTGTTTGCTTTTGAAGGACATTAACGATAGTAATAAATCAGATTAACCAGTTCATAAATCTTAATCATATTGTTCTGTGACTCCAACTTTTGTTGTTCAGAGTATCTAAGTTATTGTCGATGGCTGTGCAGGTGAGACTACAGTGTAAATCCTGTATTTTCCAGGGAGTTTGTAATATTTACTTAGTTTGAAAGCCTTAGACTCTGGAGTCTTCAATAACATGCATTTGAATTTAAGCGCAGATGTGCTGTCTCCCCTCCTTTCCATGCCCTATTTTTCTTATAATTAAATGAGCTGGAATGCTACCTTGGTATTTTACACTCTGTATAGTTAAAAAGAGGAAGGCCTAGGCCCCTATTATAGGTGTATTGGGCCATGAGTGAGAGTGTCTTGATTTCATGGAGTAACTGAGTGCCTGAATACCAAATTTGCTAAACATGGATTCTATTAATATCTCTGATACATTTCCTTTTTGTGAAAACCTTTCTTTACTAGCTCATACATACTATGCATGATTCTAGGAAGTGTAACAGTTTTTATTTCTTTCTATCATATTTGTCTCAATAGCTAAGAAATCTTTCCAGCTTGGATCTACGTCATATCACAGAACTGGACAATGAAACAGTGATGGAAATAGTAAAGAGATGCAAAAACCTTAATTCCCTCAATCTGTGTCTGAACTGGATCATTAATGACAGGTAACTTCATTATAGCATCTAAAACCAGTATAAAGCAAATTTAACTAGTTTTATTAGTTGAGAATACTTCCTCATGGCTTGGGGGTTGGAGGAAATCAATAAAAGCAAGCAGTGTTTTCTGAGTGTTCTTGCTTGTTTTGGGTAAATCATCTAGACATGTTTTACAGAGTGTTTGTTTATTTCTGTAGTAGAGAAAAGTTTAGATATAACTGGATGGCAGCACTAATCTTTTTCCTGTATATTTCATGAGAATGTGCTCTTTACCGTGTGTGACTGAAATGTACAATTGCAGTTATGACTCCTTCAGTAGGTGGCCAGGATTTAAATGGATTTATCTACATACAAACAATGAAGCATATTTCCATTAGGAAAAATAAACTGCATATGGGTTAAGTAGTAGTATTCATGTTTTCTTAGAAAGCAACAAGTCCTTAATTTCTGTTTGTAGGGCCTTAATTTCATATGCAGAATAAGGTACTGTAATGGAAAATTTCAGAGTAAGTCAGAAAAAATTCTGAGAAGAAAAATATACATTTGAAAGAGGCAATTCTTGAGTTTTAAAGTACTTAGACATGGTATAACTTTCTTCATGAACGTTTTGAGTAGGACAGTCTGCTAAGGATCATCCAAACTGATGTCAAACTGTCCTTGAAATTACTTTACTAGAATAAGAAATACAACTCTTAATTATAAGCATATGACTCTAAAATTTCATATTGAATATAGTTAGAATTATGAAGCTTAACAAGAAAAGGAAACCCTTCCCAGGAACAACAGATAACCTGCTGTTGTATGTAAACTTTTAGATAGTTGACGTTTGTCTGTGTAGTTCTATTTTGTGTTTATTTCTGATCGTACCTGTCAATACAATTTCAACATGTGACAGCTAACTAAAACTCAACTACAGATTTAAGTTTAGCTGTTTAAATTGGCTTCTGGCTAAAAGCAAACAAAGAGAGAATTTAGACAATAATTAATGCCTTTGTTAAATCTTATTCATAGGAAGTCATTTGGCATTTCAAGTATTTTTCCTATTACACAAATGAGATGAAGCTCCAAATACTAGTCTTAACTGAATGAAGTCATTTCCCCTACTCCTCCTAAATGCTGAATTAAGAATTGCTGAAAATTATATAAAAGGAACATGATACAACCACTGGGCTTTAATCAATGTAGACAGCAGTTCAACAGAATGTTATGAGCGTATTCACTCTAAGGATATGAGTAATCCTTCAGAATTTCACAGGACTGTTCGGGTGCTTACCTTGGGTAAAAACTCAAGTTAGTTTAAACTAAAAAAATCAGTTTATTAATGATTTAAGGCAAGATGAGCTTTTTTTGGTTTTTATTTGATGCCATTTGATGGATCCTAGTCAGAGAGGATGTCAGAGGAGATTCTGCATCTTGATACCTTCAAGTAAACCTTTTGTTTATCATTGTTTCCAACACATGTGAGAGAGTAGAAGTCTAATGCTTTGCCTGACTCTTGGTTTTAAAATAGAGAGATCAGTTCCACCACCTCAGCCTAGTTACTTCTGAGATCCAACTACTGGCTTGTATTCCAGATTTTTTTCAAACTTAACAAGGCACTTTTTTGTTCTCTCTAGAATGTTCTCTCTAGAGGGTTGGGGTTTGTTTCTTTTCTTTAAAGCCTTGAAAAACTGTTTTCCTCCATTCCTTTGAGCAGAATCAAGGGTGAAGGAAAACTAGAAAGTTCTCAAAAATACCGGTATAGCTTAAAGATGTATCTGTGAATTATTTCATAAAGGTAGTTGATTATTGGTAGTTTTTACAGCAGAAGTAAATCACTGGGTTTAAAACTTTATTTTAGATATTTCTTATTATTTCCAGAAACCCATAAAAATTCTTTGCACAAGCAAGTCTGTGGCCCCACATTTATAGCGCTCTCTTGCTTGTGACACAATGTTAGATCTAATGCTCTGACCATTAAATTTCTTGCTAAGGAATTAAAACTTACAGAGTGCAAGATCTCTGCATGGCAGGTACTTGCTAAGATTTTTGGTGCTGGATTATTTTGCACATGCAAGAATTAACAAGATTATTGGTCTCTTTTGATTAAAGATATTTTTGGTTTTAGAAGTATGCGTCTAAAAGGCTTATGTAGAACAGTAAAAAATAGTTTATTTTTACCTAAGATAAAAAAATGTTCAATATATTCAGTTGAAATACTCTTGACATTCATTTTAAAATGAAAGAAAAATAGGTCTCTTATAATGACTTTTTAAAAAGTCTTTAAAAGTTGAGAGTTAAGCAAGATCAAAAAAACCCTCTTAAAGTAATCTAACATAATGATTTATTCTGTAAGTATTACAACTCCCTCAAAAGCTTCATATACTATTTATCTTGTGGGTTAAATACGTTATAGAAACAGTCCTACTACTTTCAAATATGAATGAAACCAAACTTGCAAATTCCTTTAGTATGCATGATGCATAGATTATCTCAGGTCTTTTCAATTGGAAAAGAGTAAAAGCGAGTTCACTGTATGTGGTGATGTGAATAATATAATCTGAAGCTTGATTTAAATAAACTTACCACCTTGAAGTTGTCATAATTGTCACTGCATTTGAATTTCAATTGATACAATAAAAATAGTGACATATAGAAATAAATCTCATGGGGGATTCAGAAAAAATGTAGTATGATGCACTGGCAAAGTTTTCAGGGGTGTGTGATTTTTCCAATTGTTTGAGGAACATCTGCCATGTATTATATCCATAAATAATGAAGGAGCAAGCAGCAGTTAATCTACCATTTTTTTTGTGAATCTTATGACTGTTGACTTTGCGTTGCAATTCATTTCAACCTTTATATTACATAATTCACATAGAGATAGACATTTAAAAGCTGTGCAGTGACTGTGAAGTCTGTAGAGTATTTATGCTTGCTTAAGTCATACTTCTTACTAAAACACTCCTTCAATAATAATCTGTATAGAGGATGTTTTCCAGCCCTTTACCATATTTGTGGTTCTTCTAATAAACATCATGGTGCAGGGAATAGTGCAGATAAGGTAAGGAACTTTATCTAGAGCTGCAGTGAGATTCTGTGGTGCCATAGCACTGCCAGTCATCCGGGATGAAGTTCCACCTGCATGACAAAATTAATTATTTGTTTTGCACTTACAGGACAGTAATTTCCCAACCATTTGAGAATTTTGGTCCTTCCTCTGTAGGTGGTGCCAAGTGTTTTTGTAGTAATGTATCAGGAGAGCTGTATTTTTTCACATCATTTATCACACATTGATTGTAGGTGACTTTGTTAGTAGGTACTGAGATTTCCAGAGCATCTGGAGGTTGTTGAGAGTAAGCTATGGTTGTGACTTGGAGGCAGATACGCAGTATCTGCATGGCACAGTAGAACAGCGAGTAATGTTATTTGATGACCTTGTAGTGGTATCACTTACTGCCATCAGACTTCTGGTGTGGGGGAAGATAAGTATTATGTGCGCTTCCCTGAGCTTTCAGTGCAGATGGGAAAACTGGATTTGGTCTAATAGCAGTTCTGAGAAAACTGCTGTCCTTCTGTAGTGCTTTCATGAAATATCACTGTGGATAAACCAGGGTAAATGGTCTAATGGGACAGTGTCCCCATACTGTAATGATTAGACTTGTTGGTGATGATTCTGGTTGGATTCCAAGATGGAGGAACTTAGAAATGCAGACTTTTGACAAGCGTAGTAGTCAGGAAGTCAAGATATGGAAGAAATTCAGAGGAAACATGATAAATGGTTGGAAGCCAGACCATAAGCCTGAAAACCAAAATGTTTGTGCAGCAGCACAGTCAGGAAAAAAGGAACGTTTTCTCCCTTGAAGAAGCTCCATCTGCTTTATTCTGCTGGGTCACTAACATAGCATCTTTTTCTCAGAATTGGTATCATACTTGTTGGCATAGAGCATATGGGGGTTTCTACATTGTTATTTAATGGAGTAAATTATTAACATGGTCTTCCATATGCTAGAGAAGTGTTTAAAAAATTTGTGTTGACTGCCTACCATGAGTTCATGTGAACCCATGTAATCAGCCTTGGAAGCATCTGCTGTGGTCTAGATGTGTTGTGGGTAGAGGATCCAACACTGAAAATGGTCCCAGCAGGCGATTAGCTCACTATGTTTAGTCTCAGAGCTGCTGTTGTACTGAATGCCTCAACATTTCATTAGCAGACATGAGCATCAAAATAGTAGCTAAGTTCTTACAGTGTATTTTTAATAAAATGCAGGATTACTGAATGCTAGAATGATTTTCAAGAAAAATAATAAAATTAATCTTCTCTTTCTGAAAGTATAAGTCTCTGAATATTTCATTTGGAAATTATTTTAATAAAATTACTTCTAAAATAAAAACGTATAAAGCATTCAGCTTGCCTAGATTTTTGCACAGGCAAAAATGTTCATTTTCTCTGTGGTGACTACAAATGCTAATATAGTGTTTTAGTATTCATCACCTTTGATCTGACTGAAGTGGAAACGTGCTTCAGGAGCATTGGTACTTATTTCTGTCATTTTGTATAATCTGGACTTGGGGATATAGTAGAGCCTTCCAAAAAGTGGCTGTACTTTTATATGATATTTGTCATGAATCATTCTCGGTGAATACTAGCATTTCTTAATTCTAATTTAATTTCATCTTTTCAGTGTTATCTGAAAGATGATCTCTTTTGAGTTCTCTGCATATTTATCAGGTGTTTAGTCAGCTACATTAAAAACTTGAACTCCGTAAAAAGTTACATAATGTAACACCAATTAATTTTACTTTTAAAAATGCTTATTCTTTCGAATCTCATACTTTTTAATTAAATTTGTAAGAAAATTTGTTTCACCCTGGAGATGTGTTTTGTAAAATGATTTGAGGCTGACTGTCAAATTTTTTTTAAATTTCAAAAGAAAGCATAGAAGTTAGACAAAGAAAGATAATTGGCATGCTTTGGTGAATTATCTACATTAAATTCTGGGCCACCTTTTTTTTTTTTTTTTTTCCCC